GTCTGTGTCTTGTCTCTTGTGTTGTGATTTGGATGTGTTTGAGAGGTCTGTGTGGTGTGAAGATGTGTATTTGATCCGGAAATGTTCTTGTATATGTGTGATCGATAAATAGAATAGATGTATTATTAAATAGGCATATATAGCAGGAGATTGGATGAAGACGATTTTAGTAACTCATAAGAGGGGACATTTTTGCTTCATCAGTGTTAAAAAACCCATGAGCCTTTGTTTCAGAGGACGTTTATATATTCGATTTGATAAAAATATGAGCCCCTCAGAGGATGTTTGTTTAATCTGATAAATACACATGAGCCTAATAAAGGACGTTTATACATAACATAAGTATATATAGTATCTGTTTTTAACAGAAGTGGAGAGACCAGCGAGGATAGTCTGTACACATTCAGGTAGCAAGATTTGAGAACTCACTCGTAGATGCTGCGTGATGGGAGGGGCAGCAGGTTAGACAGGTGTTTAAACCTCTAAACAACGAGATCACTTCCGCTTGTCACTCATTTTATAGAATGGGGCCCCTTGTACTTCTCTTCTCTTTTTCTCTGCTGCATTTATGTGCTACACAAGGTAAGAACTTTATTTTTTGTATGTTTCCTGTTGTTGAAGTGTCTTTTGTAAATATCTGTACTTCTACACGGCTTTAATGATAGTTAGATCTAACAATGTAATCTGTTTTTTCATTAATTTAACACTGAGAGTTTATACAAGGCCTTCATACTTTAAACTGAGACATAATGATTGTTATGTCAGCGGCTGGTCAGTGGATTGAATGTAAATAATCAAAGTGAAAGACTTTAGAGTTTGTGATCACTGAGTGAACTGGAGATGTTAAGACTTCCATTAGTGTTTCTACAGTTTGAGTAGCTGTATAGTAGTTATAGTGAAGATAAACTGTTCTTTTATCCTGATACATAAAACTTGAAATGGAAAGTATAAAAAGTGACTAAGTGTGTTATAGCTGAGGGTCAGGTCAGAAACCATCGAGGTCATTTTCATATTATTACCTTCTCTTCACATTGCAAACTTCCTAAACGGTCTCCACACAGACTCTGTGAAACAGCACTGCGTCACAAATACTTTACATACCATAGAGGACTCTAAATGCACGCTCCTCTTTTCTCTTCCATGACGTGCAGCAGGAGCAGTCAGAGATACACACATGTCCAATAATGAACAGGCTGATTATATTAAGTTTCTAATACTGTTAAAAGCTAAATCAGGAGAAAACTTGTTTTGAGGATTAATAATTCATTTTTCTCTGATTGATTTTTGCTTTTAGTCTGTAATGTTGTAATGCAGGGACGGTTCGGGGGGGGGGGGGGGGGAGTCTGGAACTACTGCCTTTTACAATTTCTCAATTTCCTAATCTGATGACATGATCAAATCTGTGACTTAAATGTGTTATTGATTAAACAGAACATAATGCCTCCTCAATTAAATGTACTGTAACAGATGTGTATAGGACACAAAAACAAAATTTGTTATTTTGGCCGGTAAAAAAATAGATGTATAATGTTTGGGCGGTGAATGTTTTCATCTGCCGGCCATCTTGGACGGTGAGTCAAAAAGTTAATTTCGGACCCTGGGCGGTAGTAACATCGGTAGGGACCTAGGTTGTATGGGAGTTCATCTGTTGGAGACGTTCCAGGTCTCTTTCCGGCCAAATTGCTCTGATCCCTCAAGCTACTTACAGCTTTCATCCATGTGTCCGCAGGCTTCACAAAATCCCTGTGCACATACATCCTTACATCCCATCATCCTTTCCTCTACCCTTCCTTCACTCTTTCACACAAACCCGACTCCAGTTATTCAGTTCTGACCTTTTATTATCACTGAAAGCATTTGATTTAAAGCATCGTACAAGAGCACAGCAGATAATGACATACGACGTGCAACACAACCTGACAGAATACTAGAGAAAGGAAAATATTATTGTACGTTAAAACAATACTAAGAGCATTAATTACAATAGGAATATATAAAAGTTGTATCTGCTTCTGCTCCTACTGCTCACTCAAGCAGCTGCTCAGGGAGCCTCAACACCTAATCAAGTCGGCTTTCTTCATCCTCTTCCAATTCAAACTGATCATCCCCTAACAGCTATGACGCGCTCCCTGTGTTTCAGTCCCACTCTGACATCTCTCTATTAGTGCACGTTCAAAGGTCCTGTTTGTGCATGTTTGTATTTCTGGCCTTTGTGTGTGAGTAGCATGTCTCAATATCAGAGTGTAAATTAAAGTATATTAAAACATTCATTCCTGTTTTAGGTTTGTATTTTTAACCTTCAGTCAGGTGATCATTCTCTGTGTTTGTCAAGAACTTTAAGATACAAGTAAACAAGTGAAACATTGTTAACATGGAAATATTGATTCAAGTGTTCTTTTAATCATACACATGATTTTTATTTCTCTTCTCTCTGCAGTGACTCCTGTGTTTGTGCAGACAGGAACAGATTTACTTCTGGATGTGAAGGAACCTGTTGTTCTGAAGGAGGCAGATTTTTTACATGGAATGTCAATGGCAGTAATGTTGTGAGACTAGTTATGGTGGTAAACCATTTCCAAATTATAATCTAGAGCAGAATTGTCTGCACAAAATCACTCTCTACTGTTAAAGAACGTACAAAAGGGGACAGTGGAGTTTACAGAGCACGTGTTTTGCTGACAAAGATCACTGTAGCTGAATACAGCGTCACAGTTCTGGGTACGTTTCTTTAATTTGAAAATGTTGATACAGAGTCGTTCCCTGTTTTAAAAAAAGTCATCACACTTGCTTTGCTTCTTGCAGATCCAGTGTCTGGAGTGAAGCTGACAGTGAAACTCTGCAGCTCAGACTCCACTAAGGTCACAGTGATCTGCAGCACTGAGGACTCTCTCATCAGCACACGTTCACATGTGACAACCAAACCTGCTCTCACGAGGGAGGAGAGCGAGCAGAGATCATCACACCTGGTGCTTCTCTGGACGTCTACCTGGAGAACGGCTCAGTCATCTGTAACCATAGCAACCAGGTCAGCTCTACAAGGGACATCCAAAAGATTGAAGATCTTTGTAAAGCCTAAGAGTTAAAAACTACAATTAACACTTATAAACAGTGTGGATTGTAGCCTAAAAAAAACAACAGATGCTTTTTTTGTTGTTGATGAAACAATGATATAAATATTCTCCATTGTGTTTCAGCTGTTGGTAGGAGATCATTTTGTTCATAAATTCTGAAGAAATAATTTCAGCAGAAACATTGTCATGATTTAGACTAATCAGTAATAGTTTGTTAATCAATTAGCTTTAAAAAAAAATCAAAATAGTTTTTATTTATTTATAACATTAAACAACACACACAAAATATAAACTTACACATGACAGACCATTAACAAAAACCACAAGAAGAAAACAAAGACCAAACCAGTCATCATGTTCATCATTCTTCTAAACATGGCCTTAGTGCGATCCATCTCATTTCAGTCATTCATTGTTCCCTCTCTGTTTGTGATTACGCCCTCTAACCTATAAAATGAAATGAAGCAGAGATTATTTGACATATAAATGTGCTAGCATTAATTGTTTAAAAGCTAAAAACTGTCAATGAATTAATTTTGTGAGATTCAGATGTGTTATTAATCCCTGATGGTCAATTCAGTCTCACAGCCTTTAGAGTCTTTTTAAAAGAAGTCAAGACAAAGTAAAGAGTTACATTTACATGCCATTAACAACAGGTCACCAAAGGAGATAACAATCTATTTAAAGAAATACAATGTCAGAAATGTCTAAGGTGATCCTTAAAACCAGGAGGTGACTATCCTTCCATGTAGTTTTAAATTGTGACTTTAGGACACCAGCCATTCAGGGTTGATTAGACCAATTTCATATTTTACTACAGATCAGGTCTGTGAGATTGAGTGGTTATAGTTCACTCACAGGTATGCTGCAAGAGTTCAGCCAAGTATGAATTTCTAATCTGGCTTTGTTTTTTCTTTACAGCATCGAAAGGCAGCCAATATAAAGTTACACCGATTGTTGTAGCCATCGTCTTATCTCTTGGTGTTGTTTTGGCTATAATTTGAATTTATCATGGAAGGAGAAAACAAAGTAAGTTAAGTTTGCATTTAAAGTGAATTTAAATGTGAAATCAGAAAATCCTTATTGTTTACATCAAACTGAATTGACCCTTTAGATGAGTACATTCTTCTCCCCTGTGTTGATGTTTTTATTATCATTCAAAAGACGTCCCTTATGAGTGAATCCTCTTATCAGGGCGATATGATAAAGACAAATAAATCACATGTAAAGACACTTTTAAATTCACAATGAATTCACAATATTTGAGGATGGCAATTCAAAACTGTTTATCATTTACAAAATATTAAAATGAGGCCCCATTATAAAATGTTTATGCATTTTGATTGCATTCATTACTCTTAATAAATTAACAGAATACATTTTTCAATGTAGAAAAAGTGACTCTCAAAATCACACCAAATAAATCCAGAACAGAATCAGCTCCAGTAATGTTAATGTAGTTTTAACATGTTTCTTTATGACTGATCTGCAGATAAAGCAGAGAACATGGAAAATACCGTCTATGAAGATCCTCAGTTAAGGAGGAATATTTTTTAATACCAATTTCCCAAATTAGTCAGAAGTGAAGAAATTCTTAAACAAATTAATGATTGAGAACTGATGTGAAGAGACAGGCCAGAGACATTACTGTTTTCAAATTCCTCACTAGCTCTTGTTTTTTGAAACTTGTTTTCCCCTCATTTTTTGCAACTTCACAAAAGTGGCGTCTTTGCAAAAACAACAAATGCAGGTTCTGCAAGGTGCTGTGGGCTCAAAAGTCTGTGTATTATTATTGAGATCAGGCCAGTGATGAAAATAAAGCCCATGTGGAAGTGCCCAAAACTGCAGCTCCTGAGGGCTGACAAATACCCATTTCCACCCCATATTAAAATGTCCATTTGTACTAAGTGCTGACAGGCTGGTATAAAGAAAACCACAGCTCATTTCTAGATCCATCACGACTTCTTCCCAACAGTTGTAAATGTATTAAACCTTTGAAGTTATGGGGTGTTGTGGTTCTGTGTTGCAGGTTGAACCTAATAGCTTTCTGATTGACATCAAACCAGAAATTCAGTCACAGAACTTAAAGGGATACTTCACCCGTTGAAACATGAATCTGTATTGACATTGGGTCATATATGTTGTAGAAATGTGAAATACATTTTGAAGTTGGTGCCTTCTTGGCCGAGAAAAGGCTGAAAGTGACTTTTTGGCTCATGTGGATGAAAGACACCAAATCCCAGAATGCACAGCACCGCAGGCCACTCCCACTAAGGTCCTCTAGTTCAGAATCAGAAATACTTTATTAATCCCAGAGGGAAATTTGATCGATACAGTTTCTCCAAAATATACAGTATAGCAGTAGAAATAAAGTAATAAAAACATTTACAGACATATTTACTTCAACACATAAGACCATTTCCTCAACTGATTCAGAGATTTCTTCCAGAATTGATCTTGGAAATTCCTGCAGAAAACAGACTCTATGTCTGTGTCCATAGACAAACAGTGAGAGCACCGACACTACCAGTCCACCCCAGCTCGAGCCGGCCCGGGGTCCTCGTCCTCACCGCCGCCGACAGGCAGGCCTTATGTCTCGGCTGCTGAGCTGGCAGCGGCCAGCGGTCTTGTGTCGCGGCGGCCCCAGCGCCTAGCGGTTAGCAGCCGTCTCGCCGCTATATTTGTATTTTCTCGCCATTATCAGCTTTCTCCATAGAGCCTGTTAGCATAGCTTCCAATCAATATGGCGGACGTTAAGTTTCGATTCTGGGAGTGAGTTCCCACCCACTGATCTGTGATTGGTCTGTAGCTTCAGTGGTCGAAAATATGAGGAACTAGCGTTGTAGTTTCACACCGCTAGCAGCTTCCAGTGACACAAAAATCGTCATTTTGCGTCACTGGAAACTTCTTTTCAGACTCAGAAATACAAAGATTTCCCATCTCAGGGGAAAATGAGGGCGGGATGCACAGCCATTCAAAAACACTACCAGGTTTCTAATGATACAAAGATTAATGCAAATGGGTGAAGTATCCCTTTAATGACCTGACTGTAACTGAGTCTTTGTGGGATGTTTTCTCAGTCACAAATCGGACAAATAATGTAGCAGTAGCTTTCTGTGATAAATTGTACTAACATGCTTTTCAAGAAGTCTGGACTGAAGCAACAGTTTTTATCTTCTCACTTAATATGAAGGATTATATGTCTGTTAAGGAGTTCATTGGCTGTTATTTGTTTCAGTGCTAATACATTATAATAGCCCAATTTGAAAATCGCATATCAAATAGCAAAATAACCATTCTTATGTTGTGTGTTAAAGGCTGTGAATATAGAGACCAACAAATGTTGCCCCAGCTGGTCCTCCACCCACCATCTACTCCTTGTTGGGGCCTCCCATCGTCTCTGAAGCACCCACTCATCCCAGAGACAACGCTCAGCCAGAGAGCTGACACATACAATAGAACTGTTTTGATGTAGATATTTTATTTTTTTAAATTAATTTACTGTATATATTTCAAATGCTACGTTCTATTTTTTTTACATAATTTTATTGCTAATTTCTGTTTTTGCTAATATTTGATCATCTTGATGCTTCTTATCAAATGTTTCTTTAAACCTTAATGTGAATAAAGCCTTTTTAATTTAAAGCTACAGTGAGGATCTTCTGGTTTGTGTCAACTTTAAAGCACCTTGTAGATAAAAGAAAAGAAAAGAAATCTCATCCAGCTTTTTATTTTAAAGCAAATGTATCACTCAACATGAACCTTTATCATGCAGAATGTAAAAAAGGTAAGTTTGGCCTGACACCTCCTCCATAGTGACTTGTCCATGATGATCTCCTCAGCTTGTGTAGCTCATAAAGAGGCATCAGTATTAATCTCAGTCTGTTACATAACCAGTTAATAACTCCTCACAGGAGCTTTAACAGACATTTAAAGAATGAGTGAATAAGTTTACTGCTTCACACTGAACTTCATGTCAGCGAAAAGAAACAATAAAACAAGTGAATTAACACCAAACACATCAAACTCTCTCACCTATTAGCCATTATCCATCCAATATATCGATGAGTACAATATATTTACAATGCTTTTGTTATTACTGAAGGTCCAGAAAGGAGGCTTCACATCATATTATAGAGTGAGAGTTTATTACTGAGGGTCCAATATGATGCTTGGACAAATACTGTGAAATATCATTGATTAATATTTTATAATTATCATTAATAATATTATAAATAGGACAAACGACATTACAAATACTGCATTTTATGTTTTTCTCCAGACAACATCCTCTAAAATGATAGCATTGTGATGGATGAACTGTGTGTATAGTAAAGAAACAATGCAATTGCTTTATATTTACATACATTTTATTGATTAAAAAGGTATTTATAATATGTCTATGAAGCTCTACAAAAGTGCTGAGTCACTTCTATCCTAATAAACTTTATAAGTCAAAGCAGAATTGTACAGGTATTTTTACTCTCTTCATTATTTGCATCCATGTTTGCTGATATTCTTCCTCTGCCTCCTCAAACTACATTTCTCTGTGTTTTACCGCCACCAACAGTCCATCAGTGGAATAGCATGAAGTCTGTGAAATAAGTGTGTATATACCACCGTGCCCCCTGCAGACTCACATACACACAGCTTAAACACAACAAGGTCACACATGTTCAGTCAAAAAAAGAAAATAAAACAAGTAGCTCCATTGTGCTACTAGTGGTCAAACTCTCCACAGAGGATTGTTGGGGGAGAGGTGGTTGTTTATTTTTTCTTCTTAAGCTTCTCTACGACGTGAACACTGATGACGGCACACATCATGATGACCAGACCGATCGAGACCACGTATATCTTCAGCCTGTAGATAGAGAAACCAACCCCAGATATCTCTGGACCAAAAAAAAAAAACATTGTTTCATTAGAAAGGTGACGCAAACCGATCTTCAACAAGAATGTGATTCAACAACAGGACAGGGTGCAGCAAGTCAGTTGTTCCTCTTTTTGCATACTGAAAGCATTTAGCTTTACATTCAAGAAAGAACTCGACAGTTTGTGATGATCAATGTTGGTCTGGTTTTAAAGGGGACATATTATGAACAATCCACTTCTTCAGTGTTTTTGAACATTTATTTGGGTAACCTGAGTGTCTACCGACCCACAAAATGTAAAATAAACCCATCCAGTCCTTTGTTTGTGGTCTGCATAAGTCTTACAACACAGAGAGAAATGCTCTGTTTCACATTTGCTCTCCTTGTGACATCACAGTGGGATTCTGGTAAAAACCACCAAAACGGAGCGTTCTGAGAGAGCTGGTTTATACAGGGTCACAAACCTCCTCTGGTGCTTGATTCATGTTATATTTTGATCAAAGCACAGCACAGATGTTTCATTTAGACCACTGAGGGACTGTTTGAAAAGAGGGAAAAGGGGGATAACATGTCCTCTTTAATGGCCATTTTAGTGTCAAATCAAATAATCACATTCAAGTGTCAGCCTGAGCTCAGTATTTAATGATGATGATGGTGAAAAGAAAAAAGGAAGTTCTTCATGTTTGCCTCTCTCTATGATGACCAAACTAAACCAGATCAACAATGAACATAGGATTTTACCAGCCACAGTTTAACAGAACATGAGTCGACAATAAGAGAGGAGGAGATTTGTTAGAAACTTCAGGACAGGATTAGATGCATCGCTTCATCTACGGAGGACGCAGAAAGAGTTCTCTCCAATGTTTTGGATTTGGACTGCAGTACCCGTTTTAAACACTAGGTGTCAGAGTTACACCATTAAAGTCATAGTGCAGAATAAATGTCAGTGATCTTTTCAACTTTAAAAAGAAAATGTATGATCTTGCCTATTTAACAGTCATAGTTAAGCCATAGTTAATTGATATAGCAAATCAATATTTTTTTTCTGGAACATTCAATGATTTCTGTTTATTAAAAAATATCATGGACTGAGATAACTCTGCATTACAAATTGGGCCATGAAAATGTCAACATTGGTTGGTCTTTAATCGTGACCTTATTTCTGTCTCCTAGGCAATTCTTTCTTGCAATATTAATAATATATTTTATTATTATTTTATAAAAAATCTAGAGAAAAAATCATATTGTTTCATCAAAAAAATTTGATCTGTTGTTTTTTTATTTAGGCTACAATCCACACTGGTTATTAGCATCAAATTGTAGTTATTAACTCTTACCGTCAGGCTTTCTACAAAGATCTTCAATCTTTTGGATGTCCCTTGTAGAGCTGACCTGGTTGCTATGGTTACAGATGACTGAGCCGTTCTCCAGGTAGACGTCCAGAGAAGCACCAGGTGTGATGATCTCTGCTCGCTCTCCTCCCTCGTGAGAGCAGGTTTGTGTGTCACATGTGAACGTGCTGCTGATGAGAGAGTCCTCAGTGCTGCAGATCACTGTGACTTAGTGGAGTCTGAGCTGCAGAGTTTCACTGTCAGCTTCACTCCAGACACTGGATCTGCAGGAAGCAAAGCAAGTGTGATGACTTTTTTTAAAACAGGGAACGACTTTGTATCAACATTTTCAAATTAAAGAAACGTACCCAGAACTGTGACGCTGTATTCAGCTACAGTGATGTCTTTGTCACAGAAACACTTGCTCTGTAAACTCCACTGTCCCTTTTGTACGTTCTTTAACAGTAGAGAGTGATTTTGTGCAGACAATTCTGCTCTCGATGTATAATTTGAGGAAATGGTTGGTTTACCACCATGAACTAGTCTCACAACATTAGCTCTGCCAACAGTCCACATAAATAAATCTGCCTTCAGAACAACAGGTTTCTTCACTTCCAGAAGTAAATCTGTTCCTGTCTGCACAAACACAGGAGTCCCTGCAGAGAGAAGAGAAATACAAATCATGTGTATGATTAAAAAAACACTTTAATCAATATTTCCATGTTAACAATGTTTCACTTGTTTACTTGTATTTTAAAGTTCTTGACAAACACAGAAAATGATCACCTGACTGAAGGTTAAAAACACAAACCTAAAACAGGAATGAGTCTTGGACTTACATTCACATTAATACATTTATAT